TAGAATTTAGTATTTTTATGCTTCCCATGTTTTTGTCAAAGTCTATGCGCTTGTCACCCAAATACCACCAATAATTTTCTTTATCGTATGTAGAACCATACATGACATCAATTTTTTTATTTTCTTCCCAAAACTCTAAAACATATGTCTGACTCATTGGTGGATATTGTTCAATATATTGTTGGATTGTTTTTGGAGCCAACCGTTCTTCGTTCGTATGTTCAGATTCATCGCCTTCGCTAAATTCTTCAACGGCACTAGCACCATCATGTTGAGCTATGCTTTCTATCGGAATGTAATTTGTATATTTGGGAGATTGCTTAGGGCAGTGGTCGCCAACCTGTCGATCACGAGCTACCGGTAGCTCGCGGAGGCAATTCTGGTAGCTCTCACAACGATTTTAATTTAAAAAATACAAACTGCAAAAATCAGAGAAGCTTCCAAAAATTCCACAAAAAAATCTAATTGTCATAATATTAAACATAAACAGCGGCAACGTTGCGGTGAGGTGAGCGATCTGCCGCTGACGCCATAAAGCTAGAATCGGCTGGAACCGACCAGCCGGACCAGCGCGTTAGTGTTCGAGAACGATCAGGATTGCTTTGAACGGGATAAATACGCACGGCGCGGCGACATTGCGCTTAGTTTAAAACTGAATGCGTAACCAACGTCCAGCGGTTGGGTTAGTAGAGAACAACAAAAAATAATATTATGGCAAGCAGTTGTAAGAAGGTAAAGACATACCACTTTCATTCGGAATGGGAAGAACAATACTTTTTTACAGAAGTTAAAGATAAAAATGTGTGTTTGTTATGTAATACTTCGGTCTCCGTTGCTAAAAAAGGAAATATTGAGAGACATCATAAAACTGTACATTCTAATTTTGAAAAATCATTCCCACTACATTCTGCCGCCAGAAAGGAGAAACTGAAACAGGTAAAAAAGCAGTTAATTGGACAACAATCAATATTTTTAAGAACAGTCGACAAAAATAAGGCTGCAACTGAAGCATCGTACCGTGTGTCCCAGATAATTGCACAAAAAAAGAAACCTTATGAAGACGGGGAAATGATAAAACAGACGTTTTTAGAAGCTGTTGATTCGTTATTTGCCAACTTTAGAAATAAAGACGAGATAGTTTCAGCTATAAAATCTATGCAACTTTCTGCTAATACAGTGATGAGACGTGTAGAAGTAATAAGCAATGATATTTTTTTACAGTTAAGAACTGACTTAGATAACTGTGTTTATTTTTCACTTCAACTGGATGAATCAACAGATGTCGTTGACACTGCCCAGATGGCCGTGTTCGTCAGGATGGTTTTTAGTGATTTTACGATTAAAGAAGATCTTTTGAAGTTTATTCCACTGAAGAGACACACTACTGGACAGGAGTTGTTTTCTCATTTAAAAAATATTATTTCTTCCGAGAAAATTCCAATATCGAAAATGGTAGGCTTGACAACTGATGGCGCTCCAGCTATGGTGGGTTATGATAAGGGTCTGGTGGCGTTATGTCGTAAAGATGAAACTTTTCCGCAATTTCTCTGTTACCACTGCATTATCCATCAGCAAGCATTATGTGGAAATTTCCTGAAACTAAACAACGTTATGAAACTGGTGGTAAAAATTGTGAATAAGATTAGAGCTCAAGCGTTACAAAGAAGATTATTCAAAACCTTGGCCGATGAAGTTAACTGTCAATACGGGGACCTACTCCTTCACTCTGAAGTCCGATGGTTAAGTAGAGGACGGGTGCTGAAACGTTTTAATGATGTCCTATCTGGCATAGTTCAATTTTTCAAACAACGCGACGAACCGACTCCGGAACTAGAAAATTCAATCTGGCTTAGAGATTTTGGTTTTCTCGTGGACATTACAGAGAAATTAAACGAACTTAATTTTCAGCTTCAGGGGAGAGACAAAGAACTAGCGGAAATGATTTCTGATATAAAAGCATTTATCAAAAAGCTGGAGTTTTGGGAATAAAACCTAATTAACAGCGATGCCAAGCATTTTCCTATTATTTCAGAAAAAATATCTCAAAATCCATTAGAACCCTATGACAGCAAATATCATGTAGAAATAGTTTCTACCCTGAAGAATAACTTCAAAAATCGTTTTAAGGATTTCAACGAAATGGCTTTAGTAGCGCAGTTTGTTGTTTCACCCTTTATGGAAATTGATATCCAACAGTTTGCAACTTGTGTTATGCAGAACTTTGGCGAAGACATCGCTGCAACAGAAATGGAAGTAATTGAGTTTCAAAATGATTTAGCCTTAAAATCGTTAGTCTCAAGTACCAAATGTATCTGGCCTATTGTAAGTAAAGACAAATATTCAGTTATATGCCGTGTTGCCTTGAAAGTGAAAGCATTATTCAGTTCAACCTATTTGTGTGAATCTTCTTTTTCCAATATGAAGTTTATTAAGAACAAATATCGCAATCGACTTATAGATGAACATTTGGATAATTGTATTCGAATGGCTGTATCAAATTATACTGCAAACATTAAAAAAATTATCGATGAGTCTAAGTGTCAGCCTTCTCATTGAACGTGCTTTTTTATTTTTCAATGTTTATGTTCATGATAGTGCGTTACTTTTTTGTTGTTATTATTAACTATTTTTAAATCTTACGTGACATGCCGTTGTGGCTGGATAAAAGTTTGTGTTTATTTTTCAAACACCTTCGTTTGATAGGTAGGAATGTAGCTATGAACAAGTACGTACTAGTAATATTAGTTATTTTGTTATTAGTTTATTATTAGTACCTATGTATTATGTATTACCAGTTAAATTGTAAAATAAATACATATAATGATAAATTAACTGTGGATTATTTCATTTACGTTGCGTTACGTGGCTTCCGTGTGGGTAGCTCGCTGTTTATTCCAAAATTAACAAAGTAGCTCAACACATTGAGAGGTTGGCGACCATTGGCTTAGGGGATGAGACTGTTTGCGGATTGAATCGTGACAAAGAGAAATCCTGATTTGTGAGTTCTGTTTTCGGTTCAATCTTTTCTTCTTTCTTAATATTAAAGTCATGGGAAAACTTTTGAATGTTTCGTAGAGGTTCCGCAATTGGTTTAAATAATCTATTAATAGATTCATCCTCCTCCGTTCTACCTAATTTCAGAGCCAAGAACTTTTCAAATAGAACGCCTGCGTTCAGCAATTTTTTGTTTGTGAGCTGCATATGTCGACATTTTGGCGTGAAGTAATGAGTAACGTACGATATTTGCATTTTTATGTATTTATTAAAACCTTTACGATACCTGCCATCGTTAGGATTAAAGTTTTTTGCAATTACAAGAGTACATTTTTTTGCAATTACAAGAGTACCGTATCTATCGTTCCAACATTCAGAACATACCTTTTTGAAATCGTCAAAGGACATGTCAGGTGATACGTGTTCGTCAAAAATATGTTTAAGGTTAATCTTATCCTGTTTAAATACCACAATTACGTTGCAGTTATCCCTCACCATCTGATTTGGAGTAAGTTTGTCAGAAGGTGAGTTCGGGCTACGCACTCTTTTCACGCTATTCACTCCTAAAGTAGCTAAGGCGTTCGGGGACGGAAGGAGTTAAAATAAAAGTTCCTTTTTGACCGTTCGGAGAGCGTAGAGTGAAGTGTGGATTGGGCATGCGCATAAGGTGATTTAAATCGTTAATAAGATAATTGTGACTAATTCTTAAGTAAAAATGCTTTTAATTTGGCTACCGTGCATACCATTAATATAGAAGAAACTTATACGGTTGTTACTGATTAGGTTTGGTTTTAAGTATTAGTATGTCACATTCACAACTGACATTGAACTCTGAGAGTAAAAGGAGTAAAACCATATGCGCACTCCGTTTACGCCAACTTACTCCACTCCACTCTGGAGTGCGCAGCCCGAACTGACCTAGAGATATGCAGCATCGATATCTTTATATCGACACATGGAGTAATATTAACGAATTTTCTGCTGGCCATCGCATGCTACATCATCAATTATGAATATTGAATTAGGTTTAGCATCGTTGGGTCATAACATTTCTTCATTGTCTTTAAATGGAAAATAATCCACCTCCTTCATACCAGATAAAACTTCTTGAAGCATTTGATACTTTGGTTGTTACAATGACTTTGAATAAACGTAAACATTTTTGAATTTAGCTTCATTCGGATCGTAGAGAAGTACCATCATTGCGTTCGTTTTCCCGCAACCATTGGGTCCACATATAATAGCACGAAACGAATTAGGTAATAATTTCCCGTGTTTACTTAAAGTTTTTTAGTATTGCTTATTATTATTATTTATTATTATTATTATTGGCCATGGCTGAGCCCGTTGAACCATCTTTCTTCGTTTAGCGTTATTTTATTGCGATACCCTGATGCAAAGTATTATACAACTTAGACCTTTTTCAGTGATTTTAATGCATGCACATTCAATTACACTTTCAATACTTAGATTTTCAACATGTTCGACCACCTCAACCTATTGAAATTTGTCACTAGTATATATACGAATTGGTCATTTGAGAAACGACACATGTCACATTTTTGACCATTTTGTTTTTATTATAAAAATACAATATTTAAAGGTAAATTATAATTATTAAATTATACCCAAAATAGAGCAAGTTTTAAACGCTAAGTGTACAAAACTATTTTTTAAGCATTCTTTGAGATTTTCACTTTTTATTATTTTTTGAAAAATTATCTACAACTGATATGTGCTGTTTCTCAAATGACCGATTCATACAGGCTCCTCCACGAAGAGAATTTACTCAGGAGACGCATGACTTCATTTGATATCCAGTAATCTTTATGAAGTCCTCTTCAAGACAAAACCAATGTTTAGTAAAACACAATACAACTGGTTTAAGATCCAATGCTTCCAAGTGAGCTTCGATATCAGGAACTTTATTTTTCAGGCCTTGTATATTTTTTGTACACTACATCGGTAGATACTGAATAGAACTTTTATTATTTTTTTTTTTTCAGGACCACGATTTAGTGTTCAATCCCGTGATGTGTAACGACTGCACTACTCGCCTTCAGATGGCTTCCGATTTCATCGAACAATGTATCGGCACCCAGAAGCTCATCCAGCAGTATAAGGACACGCATAGCCTTTCGGAAAAAATGGTGTCTTGCGAAGACGTCGTCGTCTACAACCAATCACTGCTACAACCGAAACCGAGCTGCACGAAGTGTAAAAAAGGTTCTTCACAACCGAAACAGCGGAAGGTAGTCTCGGAATCCACCGTTAAACCGTCGCCATCTGTCGAACGTCTGAGTGAAACTCGAACCTTTCCGTCTCACGAGGAATTTCAACATAGTTCTGAAAATGTTGATATCCAAATGGAAAATACCGATGAGGAAATGGAGCTCGAAGAAAAATGTGAAATAACTGAAGAGGAAATTTGTTTTATTAAACAGGAAGCTCCTCGAATTAAGACCGATGATACGATTGAAACAAATGTACCAATCAAGACAAAAAGTGTTGTAAAAATCGAACCTTGTTCGACTGCTACTTCAGGCTCTACCGTAACGATTGTTCCAAATGTTGTTAAACCATTTTCTATGGCTGATGTGTCTTGTAATATGAATTCAAATGTTAATAACGTTAATAACTCTAATAACTTAGTTCGTGCAGTTTATTTACCTTCTAATACACCAATTCCGAATTACCGTCCTGGTTTTCGGAAAATTGCACCAGCTACTGGTATTAGTGCTGGTAATCCGATTGTTTTTGTTGTTTCTAGTGTTAATTCGCAATTTCAAAATAGCCAAAATAGGTAGAATGTTATAGTTTGTGATTTTCGAAGATTTATTACTGTTTTTTTTACTATGTAAAAATTGTGATTTCTTATATTGTATAACATACTTTTCTACACGGCCACTACTGAATGTACTTACATATATTTCATTCTAAATCTACTTACATAATGTTCGTTATGTAATAGCTACTGGCCAATGGATGTGAATACCAGGCCCGCGTCGTAGATAGTCATTAATTTTATGACTGGCAGTTATACGTATAAAGTATTTAATTTGAATTTACCCGAATAAAGATAAGCGGGATTTGTTGTCGAGCTTAAATTAAAAAATTGTTTAATATAATGATTCTTATGGGTCATTCTTCAGAAAAGGTACAATTTCAAAAGGTAATTTGGATTTTCATTTTTTTAAATGTATTTTCACAAATTTTTGCAAATACGTTACAAAAACATTAATTATCAAAATAAAATGGATGGCCAAGCTTAGTTTTTATTTTTTCTCCTTTTTTTGGGAAATTAAAAATTATTTTGATAACGGTTATGACGTCTTGATAACGAAATACTGCAATAATGTAAAAATGTGTATTATTTAAATATCCTTGATACAAAAAACCTAAAATTGCAAGAATATACTTATCTATACCAAAAATAAAAAGATCAAAGAACAAAATTTCTACTTTTATTGAGCACGTACAAAAGAAAAACATTTTACAAATTATTTTATTCCAAATTTTCGATGTTTTTGATTTCAGTTTCATCGAAATAATATTGGTTTCTTCGTTCTTCGGGTGCCTTTAAAATCAAAACAATATCTTTTTTTGGAACTGGATAAATATCAGATTCATTGGGGAAAACAAATTTATTACTTTTGTTCTGTCTTCTCAGAAAGCTGATTAGTAATAATTCATCGTTTTCGGCTTCACTTAGGATTTTTCCTATGTAGTATTTCTTTCTTTTCTTCCCTAAAAACTCAACTATAACAAAGCTACCATCGGCAACATTAAATTTTTGCCCAGTTACTTCATCCATTACTTCGCCCTCATCTGAAGAGGAAGAGTACACATCAGAATAACTCAACCTGTCGCTTCTTGAAGGTCCTGCTTCATAATCATTATTCAAGTGGTTTTCAAAAATTTTTAATCCCAGATGATAATGTTCACAGTTTCCAATACACTGTAGACAGCTAAGATATCGAAAATACAATACATTCGGTTTCACATTATGCCAAAATATTTGTCTTATTTTTAATGTGCCTTTAAATGCATTTAGCTTAACCGGAACAACACGATCGAATTTGCAAATATCTGCTTCACTAATCGATAAAATATTGGTTTTTTTACAATTATTTTTTAAAACAGAAAAAAATTCGTTAAATGAAGACACATCTTTGCCATGGGCCACGCTAGCATCCGCTGTTCTTTTAACAGCTCCCCCGATTCCATCTGGAGCCCCCTTGCCATGACCACTCTCGCTGTAGTGCCATTGTATTTGTTCGACTTCCAAAGTTTTTGCAATCTGATTAGCTATTAAATAAAACATCGTTTTGTTTTTGTATTGAGTTGTAGGCCCATCACTCAGAAAATGGGCAATTTTAATTTTCCCTATCTGCGTTTTAGTCCTTGTAAATACTGGTTCTAAATGGGCACAGATTGCTGGTGGATCATGACGCAAGCTCTCTGATATTGTACAATAGTTTGTATTTATTGTCTTTTTGTTCTTGTTATGATAAACAATTACCGTATGTAAGGAAACCTGTGGTTTTGATCCCCCAAAGTGTGCAGACTGAATTTCTTCCCCATACTTGCAGTTATAATTTTCTGAGAAATCCATGTGTATCAAAATTTCATTGTCAGCAAGATTGTTTTTAACATCGTTGATAACTTTGTATTGGTGAATAATATTTCGCATGTGCAACATATATTTAGGTAGATCGTTTTTGAGTTTTGTGACTAATTCACTAGCTGAAAAAGTAACTGGTTCTTTAATTGTTTTTTGGCATATTTTTTCAGTTCCTTTGACAACAACTTTTTCTTTTTTGTTGATCCACAACTTGCAAACCACTGCTTCATCGGGTTCATAGTTATTCAAAAAAAATGTCTTGCCCTTACATAAGTCACAGGTGCGACTAAGACATGTTTCATTTGTTTCTTCACAGCAAAGCTCCTTACACAGTTGATTTGGAAATGTGCTGTCAATTATGTTTAGAACTCTTAGTTTACGTGTAATAAGAGCCATATTCTCATGATGAATACACGCGCAAGTCTCTCTTGATCTTACATTAGGTAGTAATATCCAGAAGGGCCTATATTTGCAAAAGTGGGCATAACTAATTCTCCTATATTGTGGATATGTTTGGGTGAACTTTATATGAAGATTTTTCAAAGAGTCGCTTAAAAATCTCTTTTGTCTTTTTGCTTTGTTTTTTGTTATTGTATCTTTCTTCCCTGGTAACATGCGACTGCATTCATCTCTCTCTAAGAAGTCTCGAATTGTTTTCTGCAGCCTGCCCTTTTTTATGTTTTTGTTGTTTAACGGCCTATTTGGCCTACACATTTTACGTGACCAAGTGGTTAGGACATTAAGAAACCTGTATTTCTTCATTACATTTCCAGACACTGCTTTTATAATATTTCTCTTGCCTTTCAAAAACTTTTCACGTCGTAGATTTTCTGTTATTTGCTTTTTTACCACCTCTCCAAAAAGCACTTTCTTTCTAATTTCCTCAATCATATTTTCCTTATTTTCTATTAACTCATTTACCTTGTCTGTTGGACTGTCTGGAAGAGCGCTTTTTTTTCCCCTTCTCTCTAATAATAATCTATTGCATCTTCTTTTATATGTTCCCATTTTCTTTTTTAAAGTTGCATTCTTTGCTTCTAACTTTTTTATTGTAGCGTGTAACTTTCGTCTGTTTTTCTTAGATTGCCTTTTGCCTTGAAGCAATTGTCTGCTTGGAGTTTCATGAGGAGGTTCAGGTAAATCATTAACTTGCGGGCTAGCTGGAGGGGTGATATCAACTATATTTTCTATCATTCTAAGTCTTTGGCGGTATTTTTTGGAGGAATGTCTCCAAGTTTTTCGCTTTTCTCTTTTTTCTCTATTCGTCAGATCACTTATGTTCTTTATTTTGCCTTCGTTTCTGCGTTTTTCATACCTTTCCCTCTCTTTTCTTTTGTATTCCTCGTATTTCACAGGGTCATTCCGAATACGTTCTCTCATTTTTTTCATATTCTGTTTAACTTGTTCTTTCCGTGATTCATATTTATCTTTTTTCTTCTTTATGGGAGCCATATTGAACACTAAAAATAATGAAAATAGCATTAGATAGAGAACTGTCAACTCCGTGATCAGCATAGTCAACACCGTTATCAAACTTAGATAACGGAGTTGAGATAACGGAGCTGATGGACACAAAGGTTTATTTGAGTTTAATTTTAGACAAAACTACATAAAATAATCAAAACAGGACATCTTAAATTTCATGAAGTATTACACAAAATTACTAAAAAATAATATCAATTAACTAATATATTTACCTTAAAAGATTGATCACGGTAATGATAGTACAAGCCTGTCCAAGATCGGTCTTAGTCATACAACGTTAAGTTTTGTTTACACTCGACACTACTTCACTCGATTGTGGTCAAATTCAAACTGAACGAATTTGTACAAAGTGTCTGAAACAATGCGCGTTAATTTGCACGCCTCCTGGCGGTTTCTATTGCAAATTTAAAGTTGATAACAGGATTGACGCTAGTACCCTGGGACATGAATTATTTTAAAAAAAAAAGTAAGAGAACATTTTTTTAATTTAATTGAATATCATAAAAGCTAATTTTTAGACTTTGTTTAATAACTTGTCATAACTAAATTTTACATCAGCTTTTTCAACTCTAGTGAAATACTATTTTGTTTGTTTCAAGTATGAGTTGGGACAGATAACGGAGTATGACATTGGCCATAATTTGTTCCAAAAAAACGATAAAAAAATATAAAATTATTACATTTTGCTTTTCCTTCAAAAGAAAAGTGTTTTGGCCATTTAATAAATAACTAAAAAACTTATTATTTTGGAAAAATGGATTTTTTATTTACTGTTCTAATGAATTGTACCTTTTCTGAAGAATGACCCTTATATGGAATTTGATAATATTCCTCTTGAACTGACAAATTATGCAAATGATTTAAGTAAAAACTTGCCTAACATAAGTTAATTATTTCAATTTGTTTAAAGTTTAATTTTACTATATTCAACTCTTGCTGTGTCTATGGCCGTGGAGAAAGTACAATATTTTACTCCGTTGGAATGAACATCCGATACTCGTGGTTCTTCATGCTGGCGTTCAGAATCTTCCACTCGTATATAATTTGTATTCCAACCTTGTTACAGAATATATTATTCTGATGTTTTATTTGCATAAACTATTTTTTCCTAAATGTTAAATCACTATTTTTTGAAAAGACTTTTTTAAAAAGATTTATTTCTACTTTTACAAAATAATGTGAGTTTGAATAAATCAAATTAACAACTAACTACTATTTTTATTTACTCCTATTTATAGTCTCTGTCTAAATTGCACTGTATTTTTCTTTGTTTACTGGGACTTGCTGACACAGGCGTCCGTTCTTGATCGTGTTGCGTAACCTGATAGGTCACTATTTTCACATATAACATATACAGGGTGTTAATGAATACGTGTTACAGATTTTTAGGGCATGTAGAACATGCAAAAATAGAGTAAAAAGTTCATGTAAACATGTGCTCTTGGAGCTTTGATTTCGAAGCTAGAGCTCCTTGAAGATGTCGTCTTCAGGTCAATTTTTTTCAAATATCTTCAGAACACCCCCTTAAAAATATTAAACTTGGCAGGGTTAGTAAACTTTACATGGCGATTCTCCTGGTGTTAATTAGATTTTTCTAACACGATCATAAGCGTCTCATTTGGTGGGGGGCTACGGATATTTTCAGTATTTTTTTTTTCTCTGTCACTTTTTGACATTTTTAGTATTGAATTAAGAAACTTATGGTTTTTTTCTAAAAAAAAAGGTACTCTGGTTTAGAGTCAACCAGATGCACCGTTTAGTCAATGTTAATTTGTCCTGTTTCCTTATTTTAGCTCCTGCATTTTTACTTTCCTATCTGTATACAGATATAATAAGGAAAGTATAGGAATCATGATTTTTTTCGACCTCGAGTTTTCGACGGATTTTTACGTTTTGAGGTCCCCTGAATCCGTTTTGACTATTTTCGCGATGATGTCTGTGTGTGTGTGTGTCTGTGTGTGTGTGTGTGTGTGTGTGTGTGTGTGTGTGTGTGTGTGTGTGTGTGTGTGTGTGTGTGTGTGTGTGTCTGTATAACGCATAACTCATGA